AGACTGTCAAAGATATAGAGGAATAAAGGTATCAACTGCAAAACTAAGATACTAAGATAATACTTGTGGGGGAATATTTCTATATGCCTAGAAAACGTGGACAATGATAGCTAGTAAACTTTCAAAGATAGATGCATTCGAAATATTGTACTAGCGTAGAACGCTCCGAAATTCCTGGACAGGCAGCGGGATAAATGAGTCTATTCTCGAACAACTTCAAATACACACAAGGTTATGTACAATTTGTAGACGGAGAGTTTTGAAGTGCTTCGGACACGTTTTCAGATAAAATCCGGACAATCTGGAAAGGATAACCTTAAGCAACTGTGTCGAGAGAAAGAGGAGTACCTAGCGGCCGAGCACCAACAAGATACACAATGGGCAACTAGAGTTCAATTGCACCCTGAAACCTTGTAAGAGGCCATCCATAAAACACAGATTCGTGCAGCTTGGAAATATGTGGACACAGACTAAAAATATTCCTGATATAACTTCGTTAATTATATATATATAAGTAGAAATATATAAGTAGTTTAGAAAGTAGAGGATAGGATCATAATTCTGCCACCTGGTTAGGTATATCGAGTTAAAATTAATTCTTTAAATATATGTGTTGTAAATAGCTTTGGATTATGGACTTATAGATTAATTTTTGTTAATAACATAAGCAGGCAGGTAATTACCAAATAATCATAAACGTATGAAACTGATCAGTTTTGACTCATAATTATCCTTATTTCCCTCCAAATTGTATAATTGTGAAAGTGAGTTTGATTGTTACGTCATCGCGCCTTAAGAGATCGCGCCTTATCAGATATTGTTAAATATTCTATTAGCGAACTAAATCCAATATAAAAATATAACAAAAGGAAAAGTAGAAAAAACCTTACGCTATAATCCATATAATCAGCATAATAATAAACTATATTCACTCTTATAGGAACTATAAGCTTCATGCCCAACATATTAATTGGTTTTTATACAATGCTATAATATCAATTTATTCATATTAATCAAATGTACTATAGAACTCAACAAACTTTAATAAAATATTGTAGCTGTGTAAATTTTTAAGTAAAAACAAACACTTCAAGGGGCCGTACAATGTTTGCTGAGTCAGCTAGTAATAAATATGTTAAAAAAGTATATTACTCGATAAATTACATTTATTTTTACTTTAAATTTTAGTTTATTGTTAACTGATATTTTTTTATAAAGAATAAATAACGTTTATTGTGAATAAACATGAATCATGATTTTAAGACAATTAAGATATATGGTATTAGCAACTAGCTATCGATTAATTTCTCAAATATATTGTCTCCCCCGGAAAATTATTTTATATTTGATATTTATGTTTGATATTAAACTAATTATTGTAATAATACTACACTATTCATTATTAGAATTAATTATAATTATATAACTAGAAACATTACTTCCGTGATGTTAATTAGATTTCTTACTTACCGGATATATCTGTAGTATAAGTATTTCCACAAATAGTTTTATAATTCTACAATGGCAATAATTATCTTTTTTCTTAAAATATTTTTAGCGAATATTAAGATCATAAATGAGAGACTAAAATTAATAACTCTGAAAATAGACAAAAGTCGTCTGATCTATAAGTATGCCAAACACTAAGGTACATAAAATTTTTACATAAGTACGAATACTGGCACAAACGTATATGAAATGTTTTTAACATATAGATATACTAATTTTAGCTGTTGCACCTACGAATAGATGAGAGATAAGAATAATAAGTAGCTTTTGTTACGCAAAAAACCACGACTTTAATTATAAAAAAAATATTGACTAACTAGTAACCTCGCTATTCTTATTTTATCATAAAATAATACAATGAAAATTTCACTCCGCTAATAAAAATCAGACATCAATTGTGACCACAATTAAATAAAAAACAATACTGAAATAAAATGTATCAATTAAAGAAAAATACAGACAAGTTGAAAATTTCTGCTTTTGAAAGTGTATTAAAAAAATAAAGATTACATAAAATATTATTATAGAAGAATAAATCTCCAGCAGTTCCCTCTTAATCTGTGTACAGATAGATTGACAAACAGACATATATAGTTTGCAGTTTGATTAGTAATATAGATTATGGCTTAGCAATAGCATTGAATTTAAATTGAATTATATTTATATTCCACTGGCGTATTTGAACTGTCCACATTTGACGTCACTTCATTAAAGAATCCATGATCATAAACGAATAATTTATCCTGTCAAAAATCCCGTGATTCATGATTAGGTAAATTTGTTGTTAGCGACATTCTAAACAGTGGCAGCTTGATCCACCCTTGACTGCAATTAGTGGTTTCAAGATCAAATTTCAGACTAGGCCTCTGAAATTTTTGCCTGTTACCGGAACAAACATATAGACAGACAGATAGGCTTTTTTTTCTAAGAATGATTATTATGTTGACTTCCATTGCTGTTATTAAGACCTCTCATATATTTTTTCTTGAATATATGCCATGTACAGACATAGTCTAGTTACAATTTTATTAGTAACAATTAAGATACCATTATTCATTATTATAATATCAATATTATACTCGTATTTTTAAACTTTCTTTCATTTAGACAAAAGATTCAACATTTAAATACGCAATATGATAAATAACACATTAACACGATGTATTAATGTGTTATCAGATAATGTCATTATCTGATTTTTACAACCTTTTAGTTAACTCGCTTCAATATGTAAATATTCCATTCAAAATTTGCTATGTATTTTAAACCACTTGCTGGTATCCGATTATTGTATCTGAAATTTGGCATACTTGTGTAAGATCGGTGACGATATAAAATTATGGCACTTCGACGGATGATCTGATAATGACGAAATTATGTCATTATATGATTTTGTATAGTGCCTTGAATCTGCTGATGAAACCTAAAGCATAAGTTTTTATATTTCATAGGTTAGCTTAGACAAAAACTTGTTTTTGGTATTTTTAATAGACTTGTTTGTAATATTTTTTGACACTTGATACTTCATGTATGTACTCGTAGATGCGTAATATGATTTACTTATCGAAAATCCTTCTATAAATTATGTTAAATCAGTGTAATATAGTGTTAAATACTCATAGTTATAATCGCTTCTAAAACACCCTAAAAAAAGTGTAACTATAACAACTATAAAAAATTATTAACATACTAAATGTACATTTAATATGGATACAGATGTGATTATAAAAAAATATTATTATGCATGTAATCTCAAATTATTACTACAAACTAGTAGTTAAAAGATAAAAGAATCTGGGAACTTCGAACTTGTAAATATGGCTATTAAGTTAATAACTAATATTTACTTTCCTAATACTGCGTGCTAAAGAAAATTAGGAAATAGAGAAATAATTTATTTATTTGTACAATTATTGAATTGTTAGCATACTGTTAATGCAAAATAGTAAATAAACATATACTTACTAAGAACTTACGCCATCTTTTATTAAGTCTTATTAATTAACATATTTTGGATGTTATTTATTTTATTATTATATGAATTTTTTTATTACTTTATCTATCCCGACTCACTATCTTGCTTTCCTATTTTTATATTTCCAGTAATTAGTACCAGAAGTGATAATAAATAATAAAATTTGAAACGATTCATCTATCACCTTGAGACCATTGTGCAATCTTTATTTAATTTTTTTGTTGCATTACAATTATTGCACTATATTATACAAAATATCATTTGTATTTATTATCCTAAAAATATATATTGGAAAATTTCATATTTTATTTTTAAATAATAGCAGCAAATTTACAGTACCAAAAGTTGTTTGAATTATTATTAAAAGATAAATTAATATAGTAGGGGGACCTCAATCTTTCTTTCGGTAGATGTGGTATTAAATACGCATAGACTGAGAGCCGATGACAAAATTCATTATTATGTATATAGTCAAGTAAAAAAATATATTCTAAAGGAATTATAACGACATGTTAAAAGAGTCACAGCAGTAGTAAAGTCGTATATTTGTTGCACAAGATTTTCCAGCGAAGTAACGACTTGGTAACCTTTCCTCTGCTTGACTGAAACATACAGTAAATTTCCATCCAGCCATATATAAATTTACATATAATTCATATGTAATATATATTTTACATATTACGTAAATTGCTGTATATGACTACTATTCTTATTGTGATTAATTGTAATCATATTGATATAACGAATTTAAATTTAATAAATTTACATTAATATAATAGTATAAATAGATACCTAATACTTCCAAAATTACATATTGATGTTATCTATTTTTATTTAGAGTTATTATTAAATCTCTGAAAATCTTCCCTTCCGACCAGCTCAATTCGTCGAGACTCGAACACGCGCCTCTCAGCTGTCCGACCCGAGAGTTCTATCTTAATAAAATTTATATATGTAGGTTAAATCATTCAATTAAAAAAAGAATAATCAAATATAATATTTTTTTATGCAACTTAGAATGACAAACAAGCTGACGGTCTACCTGATGTAAAGTGGTAACTATCGCCTATAGACATAACAGATATAACAGAGTATACTGTTTCGCCCATGATACCCTCCATGCGTTCCCATTCCTGAGGACTCAGATGTTATTCCTCTGTACCCAGTAAATTCACTGCCATATCCCACCCTTCAAACTGAAACACAACCTTGCAAACACAATTGCTTCACGGTAGAAAATAGAAATACGAATAGGACAGAGGTACCCAAGCAAACGACTTTTGTACAAAGTATGTTTGTTACTCAATAACGCTCAAACAACTAAATGAATTGAAATGAAATTTGGTACACAGATAGGTTACCTTTATATCACATTCTTACTGAATATATATGGTATTTTATAATTCACAAAAGCAAAGCCGCAATAAATAGCTATTTAATAATATAATAAAAAAGCATTATACTTTGTAACTATTACACTCGTAATATAAGTCTAACCAAATCTTTTAACTTACAGAACGTAAAAACATAATCAAGGGGGTGAATGGATGCTTCAAGCCTGGAGAACTGACAGCTATTATGGGACCATCTGGTGCTGGGAAAACTACTCTACTGAATATTTTAGCTGGCTATTCGTGAGTATTCAATACTCTACTTAATAATTGAAGATTTTGCTCTGCAGAAAAAAAAAACCTACTTAAATCATAACAAATATAATATACGCATTAAACTCTATTAATCTGTACTAATGCCCGTGTGGTCCCTGCATAGACTAGGCCACCCTTCCTTTCCTGTGGGTGTCATAAAAGGTGACTAAAGGAACTTAATGGTAGAGGGATGGGCACCAGCGTCCCTTTTAAAACATCTCTAAAAGCCTAACTGCCTATCTCCGATGCTTAAATTTCCTTTTACGACACCCACAAAAAAGGAAAGGGTGGGTGGGCTATTTAACCAGGACTACACAGTATATATTTTACATAATATAATATATAAGTAACAGGTTTCATAATGACGTCACCGTAATTTTTAGAATCTTTCAAATTACGTAATTCAACATTATGAGTTTCGCCTTTTATAGACTCCATATCATTATTTGTTTACTATTTACTTATTTTTACATCACATAACTGACGTATACGTAGCATGCGTAAAAAATACGCCTGCTATCTATTATATAACTTCTACATATAAACTATATTAATATATGTATGTGTATCATCACCCTTTGACGTAAAGAATTTATAGGCCCTGAAACAATAATATAATGCCCTGATGCAGCGTTGTCAGTTGTGTAATTTTTTCGCAATTTTGGGTAAAAAATTTGTATTATCGAAATTTTAGCGAATTTAAAAAAAAATTATATGGCCCTGAAGAAATTTGGATCTATTTTTGACAGCTTTGATATTTTCTATACTGTCAAAAATACCCAAATTTCAATACAATATATCCTACCAACGCAGGTAAGAGGCAACCAAAAATGAATGAAATCATATCGATTTGGAGATTTTTTTTTTTATATTAGGGTAAAAATAAAAAAATCATCTGGCAACCGTAGGGGAATTTATTAGTCTGGTTTAATGTTAGATTATTATTACTAATAGATTCCCTCTAATAATTGTTAATATTAGCCATTTCCCATGGTTTGCTCACATAAATATGTACATACAATGATCCTATTAATTAGATTCAGATATGAGTATAATATAACTTTATATCAAATTTCCATCGAATCCGTTCAGTTAGTTAAGTGTGATTAAATAATAAACATCCAAACATCTTTACAAACTTATCTATATATAATTTTTACATTTATAATATTTGTCACATTTTCTATATGACCCAAAACATAATGTCAAAAATTGAAGCGTTAAACTATAATTCCTCTGTTGCAGCAAACTTTCCATTAACGTGGTTATAGTATTAATAATCTAATATTATCAATATATTTATTTCATCATCATCATCTCAGCCATTTATTTATTCTTTACTAGATATGAGTAATTTATCGTCATTATTATATCTTGCTATGACCCTTATCTTTATAGTCATGATCATTTTATAATATGTTTAAAAAGCATGTTGCATAATAGATGTATCAGCCATTAACTCTTCACTGCTTAGCATAGCCTCCCCTATAAGAGAGGGAGGGAGCCAGTATTTGCCACGCTTGGCAGGCGGGTTGGCAACTGCAGTTTGACTTTTGGTGATGTTTAAAGAGGGACGCTGCTGCTCATCCATCGACTATAGACTCCCTTAATTGTCACTTACGACATTCTATGCCGGGACGTATACGGCAATAAGCATAATAATAAAAACTTTAAATCTAGGTCGAAATGAAAATGTAAAATTACTGCGCTAAATTGGATGTCCTTTTCAGATAAAACTTTTCAGTGAGAGATTTCTGGAGATAAACATTCTGAATTAATTGACACCTACAAATTTATATATAAAAAGTTGATATGAAAAATAATTATATATTTCCAATTAAGAAATTATGACAAATTAGGAAATTGTCACATAACCATGAATCGCGCTTATGAATAGGGTTCCTAGTTATTAAATTTGAAACTAACGTGAGTAAAACCGATATAAATAATTTCAATTAAGAAATGCTGTAAAATTTTATCTAATCAATACTTTTAAGTGTAATAAACAGGTAGAATTTGTATTCTATATGGTTAGCTTTAGATGTTTCTAGTATATATGTAAAATATTTATTCTTCAAGTTGGAAAATGGCTCGATGTATGTTAGAGGTATCATGTCACTTTAACTTATTAATAAACATATTTTATTACTATATAAAGTATCATGTTTACTTTAGGATAGAGTGTAGTCGTGTACTAAATATCATTCCCATCCATTTAGTACTTTTTGCGTGAAAAAATAACAAATATCCAATTATCTAAATATCCTTGAAAACAATTGCACTCGTATATCAAAGTATAAAGTGTACAGATGTTATCAACATTATTAACTGGATCTATAGCGGAAATATAGGTTTTATCAAATTAATAACAATCATAAAAAATAATTTGCATTAGTCATGCAAACTCCCGATCAAAGTCAAACTTTTATGTAATGACGTTATATTTATGGGTCATTCAAATCAGATGCTACTTGATTGATAAGAGCTTATTGACAATTAAAATTATATTGGAGTAGGCAAAAACAGTGGAACGCGAAGTGATATCCTCAACATTTACGAATGTTAATCTGTTCATATATCATCATCATGTCAGCCATAAGAAGGGTTTAGCTAGTAGTTGCCATGCTCGGCAAACGATGTTTTAAAAGAGACGCTGCTGCCTATCTTTCGACCATTAAGTTCCCTTAGTCACCTCTGACACCCACGGAAACACAGGAAGGTACCAATCCATCCAGGACCACACGCCATATATTTACTTGTACTTTTATCTTGGCTCTTTTTCAGTACACACCTATTTGATGAACTTACGTCCATCCAATCGGCTTCTACCGATATATCTAGTCATTAATACTCGATCTTTTCCATAATTCTTCTTTCATCCATCCTCTCCAAAAGAGTAAACCAATACAACATTACCTTTTCAGTATTTACCACTACATCCTTTTTCAGTCGACGCGTCTTTTAAATTACACTATTGTCTATATCTTATATATTCAGTAAGTGCAAATTTACATCGAATAGTTAGTGAAAGAAGGAAAAATTTTTTTACATCTGTATTTCGATTTGAAAGGGCATGGCAGTGAAATTACAGCAGAACCGTGTACATCACAGTATATTCTACATCATAATATGTAAAAATATTTACGGTTTTCTTCTTGCTAGTCTTTCGTAGAAATCTATATAGAATGTTATATAAATTCAAACTGAAAACAAATCAGTTTGGAGCCGATAATGGTTTCGTATAAATAGATAAGGTCAATGCAACACGGTCACTTCTCGATTCACTAATTATCACTGGCCTATCTCGAATTTGGTATCAATACTCATTCATTGTAAACTTGCACTGTGACTTATTAATCACTAGTTTTTACTCACTACTTTGTCCGTGTGACCAGAATATATTGATTGACTGAAATAAAAAGAAGCCTATATCGTATTCCATCTTAAATAGTGTTTATATATTGTGACGATTGGTTGAGACTAAAGAGATCCAAAAAGCAATAAACAAACTTCTTATAGCTTATGTTTTATATATTGAGGACTGGAAATTTGTATAATAATCATGTAATCGAAATATTTTATACAGATTACAGCATGGGATTCTTCAAAAGAGTAAAAAGAGGGGGGTAAAGAGATTTCTTCAGAATCGGCTACGGTCACGTAATATCCCTGGTATTGTAGGCGTTTATAGGCTATCAGGTAAGCCGTATGCTTGTTTACCACCTCAGTAGTATAAAAAATATATATTTGACTTTCTTTTAATATACATACAGTAATTATATGTATATCTATGTACAATAAAATTGTACTCTTAATTGAACGACAACTATACATTAAAGATATGAGGGGTCTTAATAAAATCAATAATAGAAGCCAAAACAATAATTTTCTTAGAATTTTATCTGTCTATTACATGTATATGGTTATATAGCTACTCGAGTAAATGTATCATGCAGAATTCACCCTTGTGAACAAGTGACGAAAACTATAATAAAACCACCATTTTCTGAGATTATCCCATACAGATAGGTATTTATAAGTATGTAGGTACTATAATTAAAAAATAACAACCATATTATCAACATATGTACATAAATAATAATGCAATGATAAAATATCAAAAAAACCGACCATTTATCAAACAGCAATAATAATTATGTTTAGTTATAATTATGTTTAATGCTTTCCTCGATTAAAGTTAAATCAAGTTTTCCATTGACATCTATTTATCTGACGGAAGAGTCAAAAACCTCTGTAACCCAGCCCGTATGCATGAGACAAATTATAAAAGTGAATAAACCAAGAAATGTACAATGCATAAGAATAGCCTTTGGTACTGAATTCTCTCTGCTTATCCCACAAAGGACTTTATGTGTGTGGATAGGTAAATAGATATTTACAAATCAAACACAGATGAATCAGATAAAATTATTATGGCATGCTAGCATGCGCAAATTACTATTACGCTTATGTTTCATTTATGTAACACCGTTTTACATAAATAATATTTAAATAATTGGATGTTAAGTTTTATCTATAAATGAACAATGGAAACTAAATATAAAGCAATTAGTAATTCTCGCGGATAATCGTTGACACATTTCATGCCTTGTCATGTCTCTGGCATCGTGTGACGCATCATAATAGCCTTTGACAAAAATACTGAAACATTAAAAATAATCAAGTAATAAAGTTAAATAATTATTCTCGTCTTATGGCCATCAACCAGCCAAAAGTGAATACCTTTTCACTGTTTACTTCTACTGAAAATACTATATTGAATTAATACGATTTAAATATGTTTTTTATGCAACTTAAAATAGCAAACTGACGGCCTACCTAATGGAAAGTAGTAAACGTGTAGACATCAACAAAACCATGGATATAACAGGGTATACCGTATCGCCCGCAATAACCTTCATGCGTTGCCATTCCTGAGGATTAAAGTGTTATGCATCTATATTCTGTAATTTTACTATCATATACCACTCTTCAAACCGAATCACAAACATATAAATATAACTACTTCACGGCGGAAACACGAATGGAATTAAGGCATCTCGGATACCTTAATTCACAGGGAGACTTTGTACAAAAGTCGATTGCTTGGGTACCTCTGTCCCATTCGTGTTTCAACTATGAAGCAGTTGTATTTGCATGGCTATGTTTCGGTTTGAAGGGTGGGATATAGCGTGAATTTACTGGGTACAGAGGAATATCTGAGTCCTCAGAAATGGCAACGCATGGGGGGTATCATGGACGAAACAGTATACTGTGTTATGTCCATGGTACTGCTCATGTCTATAGGCGACGGTTACCACTTTTCATCAGGTGGGCCGTCAGCTTGTTAGCCATTCTAAGTTGTATATAAAAAAAAAAAGATGACTGTTGTACAAAGTACCCCTCAGATAAATTTGGACTTTGAAATATTTTGTATCTTCTTATTTGGCAGTGATGTAATCGGTTGAGTATCTTCAAGCACGATCTCTTAAATATAGAAAAGTCTAAATGTTATAAGTGACAGCCAAAAAACAATTACATTTTGTTCCGTAAAAAAATGGCAACATAAATCGTGAACGTACGCACACATAAACACTGATGAATGACAAGACATTTCATAGCCTAAGATCCCACGGCTGATTTTTGCACATATAAAACTTTTTAATGAAACTTACCTGCTTTAAATGAAATGTGAATAAAAATATAACAGCTTAGGATACGGCTAACTGAGAGCAGGACGCCGGGTTTATTATATTATATTTTAGCTCATATTTCATTTAAATCAAATTTCTCTAAAAAGCTTTATAACTGAGGAAATCAGCGTTAGGATCTTAAGTTATATGTTAAGTTAGATAAAATTTTAACTTACTTTGAATTTAAAACGCGGAAAAACAGCACCTTTCACAAAATTAATATAAGACTGACTCTGAAGTAAACCCTATTGACTGTAAAAACAATTGTAAAATCAATGACATAAAAACTCAATTCGGTTGTATCTTTTTTGTATTTCATCATCATTTTAGCCATTATGCCTCCACTACTGGACATAGGCCTCCCCCATTTTTTATATCTGTTACCTCATAAATCCATTAGTTCTAAATCGATTTAGAAAGTATTTTTTCCTCTGAAAGGATATAGATTCCATAGAAATTTTATCAAAATCGGTTCAAACGTTTACTTTTTAAATCAAAATTGTAAAATGAAGTTGAATTGAAGTCTGTTTTTTTCGTGGGACACAATCTTTAATTATTTAAAAAAAGGAGTTTTTTTTATACAATAATAATATTATATGTAAATCAATATTATTGCAGTGAAAATGTAATAACTAATTATTTATTTACCACATTATAAAAAGGAAAAATTTGATTATTTAGTTATAATGGATAAACTCAAAAACTACTCAACCGATTATAAAAATTCTTTCATCTATAGAAAGCTATGTATATTAATGTATTTTACGTTTAAATGACAAAATTGTCGTAACTAATATTTTTCTACGCTTAACTTCATTAATTTTATTTAGTTACTGCAATGTTCATTATTTTAGTCATTACTATTTTTATTAATTTATCTAATCGCGGTTGCCAACCCGCCGGCCAACTGTAGTAACTAACTTCTGATATAATAATATTAAAGGTTTATTAGTAACAATATTATTTTAATATTAGTAGTTGCATGCTTGTTTGTGATTTATATCAAAAATTAATAAAAATTTCATAATAATAATTTTAAAATTAATTTTTACTATACAACAAATACTCTATAAGATCACAAATATGCCATTTATGTCACACATATAGAGAAATACTCATAATTCCAATATTTCTACAAACAGAACACAAGGCGCCAAAGGAGAAATAGCTGTGAACGGCGTCTGCGCATGCGCATCGCAGTCTGCCGGCCGCGGTGGCGCCCGCTACATCCGCCAAGAAGATGAACTCCGGGTGCACCTGACTGTCGACGAGGCCATGTCTCTCGCGGCTGCACTTAAACTGGGCGATTTCACATCGTACGAGCGAAAAGAGAAAGTAAGTAATGTTTACTATACTACTTATGCTCGCGTTGTTTAACTCGGAACTCGAGAAGTAACCAAATTGTGTCAGTAAACAACTATTTTATATAGATTTTAAAAAGTTGTCTTTTATGTGTACAAGATGCATAGAAGAAAAATCTTATTATACATTCATTTTTTTTATTTTTGTTGATAAGCAATTCATTATTTTCTTTCGAAATCATCTTGATTAATTCCTAAAGCTTTTGTCAAAATGACCTAGCTTTATATTTACTTTTCTTGTCTTCTGTCAATTTCTATCTTTTTTTATTAAATGACCCAATAACCTTAATGTCATTGACATGGCCGTTTTGTACATCACTACAAAGTTAGATATTCACTACTAATTGCATTTAGATCCAATTAGCAGTAATATTTTTTGCTTACATGACTTACGAATACATTGTAAAAATACAGTGCTTAATTGGAAACTCCGAAGAAGGTGATTATTATTAGTAACGAAGACAACGACCTCATTTCTAGCAATATGCGCTGTTTTTTCAATGGATGGTAATGGAATGGTAACCCCGTCTGCGCTATCGGTATACGCTGGCGGGGCACCAGTGACAGATGATAAGTGAGGATTAAAAAGCAGCTCAGTTAGCCCATCGTGATAAATACACTTGGAATTCAGCACGATGGTTTCCAAGGGGGGCGCACGTGGAGGTCGATCTGATAGGGTATATTGCTGGCAAAGAGACTGATAGTCCGCATTACTAACAATCCCTTTCCCCCCAATATGCCCTGTTAACCCTTCTTTGCATAATGGTGGAAATTTCTATCATAACATTGAATGCCCAAAAACTACATAAAAGAACAAGTTCACTTTAAGTTGATCGTGTCTAGATTCTCTGGATAACTTTTTAGTATGTGTAATAATATTAAAAAAAAAATTGGTTACCATTTTATTAATTTCTATTAAAGTGTACTAAACATACGACAATTTAACTCGAGATGCAGATGAAATATTCAAATTCTAGTGAGTGTATAGCTTAAGTCCATGATCACACTTGTTATTTATTTCATACGCTCAATATAGAACTATTTGTAAATTGATCAAGAGCAAGGCGAATCGGAATTAAACAATACGGTAGTAAAAATTTTATGACAGGTATCTCCCATGCTTTCTTTAACGTGTTTCCTACGGCAGTAAGTTTTTAGCTTAGAGAATAGTACAACAGAATCGTCCTCGATATCATTATTAGACTTTAATATATCATAAAAAATATCATTGGTGACACAATATACTCTGTTGTGTCCATGGTACTTTTCAAGTCTATACGCGACGGTTACCACTTTCCATCAGGTGGGCCGTCAGCTTATATACCATTCTAAGTTTGTTCATTTTTTTAGTTGGTTGGTTCATTCTTATTTACCATTTATAATAAAAAAACAATATCGATCTATCTATGTTTACCACCTTTAATACATTTGCTATATAAATAATAAAAAATATATTTTATATTTCACAGGTTATCGAGATCCTAGCATTATTAGGTTTGGAAAAAACATCACAAACCCTTTGCCGCGACCTCTCCGGAGGACAGAAACGTCGAGTGGCTGTGGCGCTAGAACTACTCTCGGATCCTTCACTGCTTTTCCTTGATGAACCGACCACGTCAGTAATTACTTCTTTTTAATATTATTTAAATAAAATATTCAGTTATCTGTCATTGAGTTAGGGACTTCAAACTATATTGTAACAAAGAATGAAATAAAGATTTATTATTATTATTAGTTAAAGAACACTTTAAAATATATATTTTAAATATACAATTGGGATTTATCACGATGAAAAATTGTATAAATAAATAGTACCTACATAAAAATAGTACCTGCCTACATAAATATTGTCGGTAAAAGAGCTAATAAAATTAATTCTTTAATTCTAATATTTCTTGACGCTCCAATATACCTGGGTAACTATGGCAGCATCATATAATAAAGTTAAAGATACAATAACGTCACCTTGTCTTGTCCACAGGGTACATTTAGTTTATTATTGGCGATATCTTGAATAATTCTAAATTGATATTGATTAAAAATAAAAAAAATTATCGGACATCAAAATAAACAATGTCATAAATGAAGTCGCTTTTTGTAGAATAAAATATTATATTGTTTACATTAAAAACCTACCTTAATTGTAAATTTAATGATTATAATTAACAAAAAGCTATGAAAACAATTGATAATAATGTAGTTACAGCTCTAAATATAATAAAAGAGTCATAAACAGATATGTGAAATGGCAAAAGGTTAATGATATTCACATAGTATCTACTGCATGTTTACATGAAATAGATTAACCGAAAATGGCTATTAAAACTGATAACTGAACTTCAGAAGGCATATTCATTCATTTATATCAGCTGTTAATTCACCACTGCTATTTATAGGCCTCCCCTTCGAAGAGGGTTTCACAGAAAGGATTGTTAGTAATGTTTTAAGAGGTATACTGCTGCTCATCGCTCGACCATTATGTTATAATATTATAATAAATGCAGCTAAGACCATAATTTATTATGCAGGTAGTGATCGCCTATTGAGCATCGACAAAAAATAAAAAATTAACTTCAATAAGTTGATAATATATGAGGAACAAAACTACACACAGTCATATTAAATTTTAAAGTCATTTGCAAGTTGCCTAGTTACTTTAAACTATAGGTATAATTTTTAGTCTTTGCTAAGCTATCGCAATGTTTCGATGAAAACAAATAATATCTATCTGTCCACATAACAAAACTAATAAAAGTAATCTTTCTTTTGTAGCGGTTTAGACTCATCGGCATCAGCATCCCTAATCTCTCTACTCAATGACCTGGCGAGAGGGGGACGAACTTTAGTTGCTACCATTCACCAACCCTCAGCATTGCTCTTCGAGAAAATAGATACAGTTTACTGTTTAGCAAAAGGACATGTCTTATATGATGGGCCAAGGGAAAACCTCTTAGCTGCATTGGAGAGTGCCGATTTGCGATGCCCGCCTTATCATAACCCAGCAGATTTTCGTACGTCTTTTTTATTATATTCAATTATACTGTTATGGTATATCTTTGCATCTAATACGTATAAATTTGGGGGGAAAGGGATTGTTAGTAATGGAAACTGAGAATCCCATTGCTAGCAATATATCCAACCAGGTCGACCTCCTCGCGGTTTTCCCTGGATACTATCATGGTAAATTCCTGATGAATTCATCTTGATGGGCTAACTGGCCTGTTTTCATTCTCATCTATCACCCTTCACTGGTGCTCCGCAAGCGTATATCGTTAGCGCAGGCGGGGTTACCATACCATTTTCACCCATAAAAAAAAAATACATATAAATATATATAGGATAACTTTAACTACTATAATAATCATATGAAAGTATGGCAAGATATTCTCTGATTGTTATTTTATTAAATAGCTTTTCTTAACATATGCCGGATTTACATAATATCTAAAGAACGAAGCAAGTAGCATGCATTAATATTATTACAAAAATATATGTGGTCAAATAATTACTTATACTCGTACATTAATGTTAGTAATAGTAAGCATTTAGTGGAATTTTAACCATACGAGACCAACTCGTATATGTTTTTGTGTAATTAACAATCGATTTCCCAAATTATCTTAATTTAAATTGTGATTTGCTTTGAACGACACACTCCTTAATATTTTGTCAGTTTCTCAGCTTGTCAGATAAACAATATACTTTTCTATATACGGTGAAATCGAAATTGTTAACTCCCTTCAAGAGAGTATTCTACCGATGAATTTTTCCTAAAAGAACATAAATTGAAGAACCACTCGTATATCAAGTTGGTTGTCGCGTACTGAGTTATTTTTTGTCGTGTTTTTTTTTGTTTAAAATAATCAGTTTCACTAGCAGGTTACATCCTTGAAAATGTACCTACTTTTAATTTCACAATCGACCAAAATTTCGAATGAAGATTAAAACAGAAACCGAATTTCGATTGCGATTATAAAACCTTGTTTTGATCGGATTTGTATACCTAGTCAACTCGAGAAAACCAAAATGGTATAAACATTTCCTTTATTCGCAGTAATGGAGGTCGCTTCGGGAGAATACAACATAGATTTAATAAAAGCTGCCAGCACTATGAAGAACTTCAAACCAGAGCCAACAGCAAACGGTAGTTGGGACCACGTGCCCACAATACGCGCATTAGATAGCCCTATAAGTAAGTGACTTCTCTTTAATATTTAAAAGTTGTGCCTTAGTTTTTAGCACAAATATTCACAACATTACTTACAAACGCTTTTTATCAATTCTAATATGCTTTCGTACCTACATATATATCATTCTCATTAAAAATAAAACAACATATTTATGTACATCAAAAGGCATAACTGTCGGGTGGTTGGTATTATCAATTTGTTACATCGATACGAGAGGTAAAACTGTGTATCTATGTCACCATAACTAAATCACATTTCAAAATTATACGATACAGGCTTACGTGCCTAGTATGTAATTCAAAGAAGTAATTATCTAAATCTATGTAAAAATATTTTAGCAAATAAATATTCATAAGTTACTCTCGATAAAGTATACCTATACATACAATTAATTTATACTTTGTTCTCTAGTAAAATTAATGAATGAAAAATATATCCTAATCTGATTTTTTATTGTAGTATATTTTATAACAGATATCCATGAGTAAACACCGCTAGTCAATACTACTTCCTTCTACATTTCTATAACTTATTAACTTATATAAATTGTTATTGTTAGTATTTATTAAAAGTGCGCCTTAATCGAACTATAATAGCTGTAGCTATGTCATTATTCTATAATTAATTATATTAAACTTTATTCCAGTACATTAGATCATACTTTAACAATAGGGAAGTTAACTATGCGTAAAGTAAATAGGTACTGGTTTTATTTTTCCACATGGAATAATACTCATAGTTAAAACACATTATATTTGTAGCTTTTACCAGCAACTTCGTCTGTGTGACCGGAAAAAATAGCAGCATATATAGCAATTAATATGTGGCGTACACAGTACCAATTTTCATGAAGATGGTTGGGTCTTTAAGGCGCGAAGAGGTAACAAAAAACGAAGAAATTCACTTTCACGTATAAAATTTTTGTAAAAATTTATATACTCGAAGCCAATTTTACATGACATTTTGCCGCTCAAATATTATGAAAATTAACTAAACCTACTTTTATTGCTAGCAAAATATTTCTTATACTACCTATCTGCAGTTCATTTTACAGTACTTTCCCTTAATTTCATTGTAATTCATACTAATATTATAAATAAGAAAGTTTGTTTCGTAGTTTCTTTGTTTCCGCTTTTAGTTATAACGGCACAACCAATTGACATGAAAGAAATTATACTATAGTAATTTGAGATGGAGAAGAATATAGGCTACTTTTTATTCTGCTCAAATCACGTGTAAAAACTAAATAATTAAAAAAAATATAATATACATTATGGGGTTTTTCAAAAATAATGCATCAAGATCCACAACGCCACCAGCCTCCAGTTACCAGAGGGAGACTTTATATAAAAGTCGTTTGCTTGAGTACTTCTCTTCCATTCGTGTTTCTACCGTGAAGCAATTATATTTGCATGGCTGTGTTTCGATTTGAATTTGGGATATGGCAGTAAATTTATAGGGTAGAGAGAAATAACACGTTAGTCCTCAGGAATGGCAACACATGGGGGGTATCATGGGCGAAACAATATACTCTGTTATATCCATGGTACTACTCTTGTCTGTAGGCGACGGTTACCACTTTCTATTAGGTAGACCGTCAGCCTGTTCGCCATTCTAAGTTGCATAAAAAAACGTGTACTTGACATCCCTGATGTTGCTTGCGGTCATAGGCTATAGTGATGTTTACCATCAGACTGTATACTTATTTATCACCTTTGTACTATAATAATATATAATGATATAATATTGTTTCTGTTTAAGAAACATGTATCTAATGTATAATACATATTTGATAAATATTGTACGCCTTAAAAAAGTATATTATGGATGACCTATCTAAATTTTAAGACTATATATGATACACCCATAATGAACAATAAAGAAAATTATTATTATAAAAATATATCGAAAAATAATATCTGTTCATATAACATTTTAAAATATATTACACACTTTGATCATACTTGCAGTTTTACATGCGTTAAGAACTAGCTCTATAGAATATATTATACTTCATTTTCGATTACTGTCATGGGTATATTTTTTTTAATACACTTAATTCATTAATTTTTCAGATGTAACGTCAGACCTGAAAATGAAGAATGTTCTCGGAGACTCTAAACACCAAAGAAAATATGGCAAAACGTTGTATAGACCATCTGGTCTACTGCAACAGACGTGGATATTACTCTACAGAAACTATTTAATGACTTCAAGGAATTATGTGAGTGTGCAACATTTTTTCTTTATCTTTTTTCTTTTCGAAGTTAGCTAACAAAGTTAACATTTTTAGAAAACATCTACGAGAGACTTTTGCGTAAATATTTGGGATTGTTACTAAAATTTTGGTACTTGAGTTTTCTACTTTACACGTATTATGTACAACATACGAAGATACAATATCTCCTTCCGTTGTACATATGATACCCGAACAATATTTTATTTTTTTATATCATTAGTTTATCTATTGATATTTTTAAGCTACTTACTTCCAAATACAAAAGATCCCCTAATCATTTATCTTGCACGGCTGCATTAAGTGATTAACACGTTTCACATAGGTTTTTCCTACTTCTTCAACACGAATTTCTGAGGCTATTAGGTGTCTATTTCGCTTGCTGGTTACCACAATAAATTTGTTTTCACTAGAAGTCCCAGCTCTTGATCTCCCGGAGCGCGAACGATCTTGATTACTTCCAGTTTGTTTGTACTATACAATAGTGCGATGAACACAAATCTTCGGTAATTTAAGTTGAGATGCAATCTCACATTCAGATTTGCCTTCATTATGGTGAACAACGATGGCAGATCGCGTTTCAATACTAATTTCGCGAACTTTTCCCGTTTTAAAAACGTCTTGACTGTAGGAATCACGAAATCAAACTAACTGCGGATATTCGTAGATAACCCTGAAAATACCGAGTTTAAATAAACATTAGAAATATTTTAAGAATTAAGAACAATTGCATTGAAAGTTGATGTAAAATAAAAAAAAGTGTGAGTTGTGGCAATGCAGTAATAAAATTTTTACAATCTATTATCGGACTAATTTTTCCTCGGCTCACATTGGAAAGTTTGGAAACAGTGTTTGTTTATTGCCCTTTTTTTGCTTATATAAGTTTATTCTTTTGTATATACAAAAGAATAAACTTCTAAGGCAAAAGGATAAGCTTTTTATAGACAATCTTTATATACAACAGAATATGCAGATGTGCAGATTATTTTTTATCACCTATGTTTTGGAAATATTTACAATAATAATAAAAGTTTTTTATTAGTGGTCTCAAACTTTTGACCGGCTGTGTAAATAGAGTATATCCATACAAATACTTCGTCAAAAACAGGTCAACAGTTATATCCAAGTATGCCTGAATAGATTTATAATAATAATATATATATATAGTTATATAACATAATGTACATTTATTACACAGTATATAGGAGAAATTATATTATAAGTAAGATAGGTAGACAGTAGGTTAAATTAAAAAAAATTAAAAGTGCATAAGGGTTCATAATGATGCTTATCTTTACTTTGATTTAAATCTTAACGTAGACATAAAATATATATTCGTTTTTAAAACATTGAAAATGACCGCCATTTTAATCGATATATATATTAACTTGTAAGCAGTAGGGTCATTTGGACATTGCTTTTAAAAAACAAATTTCGACATTCGAACCTCTTATACGAGCCTATTATAGAACTGTCAAAAATGGTCGTAAAAATGGCGATCGAATGCCACTGAGAAAAAGAAATAGAAATTTTAATCCGTATTTGCCAGCAGAAGCTCTATCTATATAATATAAATATAAGCATCAAAGCTTCTAAATGTTCTCTGATAGTTATAGTTCTATAACTATCAGGGAAACTGATAGCAGTTGATATAATCCCTTATCATTCAATCAATATCTAACATTCAATAAATAACAGCACGATATTCCGTGTTATAAAATAACATAACATTGTAATTTACATGTTAAATAATAATAATAATTCTTTATTGCACGTCAAAACAATATGAATGTATTTAATTAAAATGTCAATTCAAGTAAAGTTGTTTAAGTTATAGCATATTATAATAGGGTACTAAGGTATTGTATTTATTCTAATGCGATGTAAAAATAATTGACACTAAACACTTATTATTAGGAAAATATCACATTTTATTAATTTATATTATTGAAAAATTAAACCTTCGTCTCGTCAGTGGTAATTGCCCAGGTCATGAAATTCTACCAGAAGGAAATTTTGTACAAAAATTTTCTACTTAGATACCTCTCTTCTACTTGTGTTTCTGCCATGCCTATGCTTAAATGGCTTATTTTGGTTTGAAGGGTGATATATGGCAATGAATTACTGGGAACAGAAACATATGACAATCATAATCATGAGGGTCACAGTATATTTTGTGATGTCCACTTTTCATCAGACGGGCCGTCACCTTGCTTGCCATTCTTAGTAGTATAAAATATACTCCACCATTACTTATTTCCAAAACCCAAGAATACGAAGTTGCGGACGAAAGCTAGTTTATAATTTTAGTGATAACTAGTTTTTTGTCCGTTACTTCGTGCGCTTTGATTTCAGAAATAGGAAAACCAATAAAATAGTCACTTCTAGATGGTATATTAAGATAAAATACATACTATATTTTAAGTTAGACCTTAGCGCACAGCTGTGAAAACCGCATTCAGTTGGGGTGGTAGTATTTGCGGGATGACGGGACTAAGTTATTGTTTTGTTTTCTATAAATCTTATTAGATCTTCTAAGTTATTACTTTATTTTCTATTAATCTTACTAGATCTTACTAAAACTCCTTATATCAATCTGTCTTAAATATCTCCCATGTACAGACGTCTCTTCTAGTTACAATTTGTTTTTTAACACGTAGGTTGACAAACAAGCACACAGTCCGTCTAATGGCAAACGGCCACTAGGGCATACAGACGCTTGCAACACTACTAGTATCACATTCATGTTACTAACTCTAAAGAAACCTCAATATACCCTTTTTTAAGAACCCCATAATGAAGTCTCTAAGGAAAACCTCTATTATACGAATATTAATAAGGTTTCATATCTATTTCAGTCTTTGTTCATGATGAGAGTGGCAGCACACGTGATTATCGCACTGGTCTTCGGTTACCTCTACCACGGTGTAGGCAGTGAAGCGAGCAGTGTACTCGGCAACTATGTCTACCTATACGGATCTATGCTGCTTGTAGTGTACACCGGCAAGATGTCAGTCACCTTATCTTGTAAGTCTGTTTACATATTCACTTGCGTATATTGTTTCCCAAACTGGGATTTCCTGTGCCATTTACAACAGATGCCAAACCCGGTATAAAAAAGAACAATGCCTACTAACGTAAAGTACCTACTTAGTCAATCGTAAACTAATATTAATAGAATTCATTATTATTTTTTTTAGAATTTAAATTATTTTATTTAAGTTTTTATACAAAAGCTTTTTCAACTCGTATTTTTTTATGATTCTACTCTAACTTCGGAAAGTTATTAAAAATAAATTCACGACTATAATCTCAAGTGGGGTAGTCAGAAGCTTGTTTCAACTCGTGCTGCTAAAGTGAATGTAATCCTCAACATATCAAGTTTTCACCGAGGGCATCTGTATGATTCCAACTTAGTATTTTTATAGTCGAGCCTACTGCCACTTTTCGAATTAATTTAGTATATTAATAGTGCTCTCCGTCAACACTAAACTTTTTGTGAAGGCCAACTTCGAACTTATGTTATTACCCTATATACGTATAACCTATAAATTGTTGTTATCATTATATTTATGTGCTATAAAGAAAAATACAGTAAAAAATATACTTATTCCATAATCCTACTGATAATGAATGTATTTACTATTTTAGAAAAGACACGAGATAAAACTAGTATTATTATGAATCAAAATATATATTTAAAAACATTTATTTTTATCATAAAAACTATCAACATATCTAATATTACACTAGAACAATGAACACACTAAGCTAACACAAATGTCCAAATAATGTTGTGTTATGTGGCCCATAATAACCAGTTCAATAAGACCAATATGGTTTCTAGGGAGAACCGCAGGTCGACCTGATAGGGTGTGTTGCTAGCAATGGGCCAGTTAAACCTCATTACTAACGTTTTTTTTTTTTTTGTGTTGTGAGGTATTTGATAATTAAAAAATAATATACAAAAAGTAAGTCTTAGAAAAAGTTTGTTAATCTGTTTGGCTGCGTGGCTGCATATTTTGTAAAAAAATTATATGAAATTATATAAATAATAATATATATTAATTATATATTTATATGTATTAAATGTGTAACTCTAAAATTCAACTTACCAGCACATAACCATACCTACCTGTATGGTAATAGTTTCACTGGATCTTATCAAATGGAATTTCTTTAAATATTTTTTAATTAAATGTAAGTCGTTTTTGTAAAAAGTAGTTTTAATAAAAATGCTTGATGATAGCATGATAGTTAGTATAGTCTATGGACAATTGCAAAACTATACGTAGCAAAGTATTGCCAACCCTTAGGAAACCTATTCTAATCCTTTTTGAAATAAAATCCACCTATATACCACCACCTTTTGAATAAAAATTCTGACCTTCTCCTAGAAAACTTAACGAGGTTCCAAATACGAGAAGTGCGAATTTCCTCACCTTCACTGTTCAACTTTTTATAGGTTAATATAATACTTTTGTGTTATTTCCAGTTCCCATAGAAATGAATATACTAAAAGGCGAATATTTTAACAAATGGTATCAGCTGGGGCCGTATATTGTATCTATATTGGCAGTGGAGTTGCCATTTCAGGTAAAAATACGTCTATTTTCTTTAATTGTATTAGAATTTATTGTATCTTGTATTTCATTTTGATGTAGTATGATACTTTTTTATTAAAATTTAAACCAAAAAATTACTGATTTATATATTTTTTAATACAATAACAAGTTCGTTAAAACCGAGTCATCATCATCATCGAGATGCCTGGCGAAAATATAAGAGCAATATTTTTCACAAGCATGTCGATGCCTGTAATAATATTTCTTAATTCAGGAAATTGTTTTAATCACGCGATAAAATTTTCGTTTTGAATTTTTTTAATTTTCAACCGATTTAAAAAAAGGAGAAAGTTCTCAATTCGGTTTTATATATTTTTTTGTTTGTTACCTTTTTACTCTGTCAATTCTAAACCGATTTGAAAAATTCTCTCTTTGTCTAAAAACATATACTTTCAGATTGGTCTCTTAGAAATTTTATCGAACTCTGTTCAGTAAATTTAGTTTTTATATTAAATTAACTGGTTTTGCTACAATCAAAAACAGATTTTTTTTTCTTATACTATTAATACTATGTTTAAATATTGTAGATGATATCATGCGTGTCCTACGTAGTGCTATCATATTGGTTGACTGACAACCCGTTGGAACCGACGCGGGCAACCCTGTTTCTTGCCACCATCGTCGCGACCTCGCTATGTGGGCAAGCATGGGGATACTTCATTGGATCTACAACACCGACAAAAGTAAGTTATAATTAGATAATTTTGGGAAATCATGTGTTAAATTGAAAAAGCCATATTTATCGAAATTATTTCTATTATCTTATTTTCATTGTTTTTCCGTTACATTTTAAGAATCTCGATTTCACAATATAACTAGCCTTGATAAGTACAAATTTTTACAATGTATTAATGGCATGTATTCTTAATTTATGGTACTCATGTTACAGATTGCAGTATTCCTCGGTCCCGTGGTGGCATGCCTGTTTTCTGTGTTCGGCTTCTGCCTCGCTCTATCCGACACCCCGTATCCGTTTCGATGGCTCCATCATATATCTTACTTCAGAGCAGGTTTCCACGTCGCTGTCCATTCAGTATATGGCTTCAATAGGACTAAAATACATTGTAATAAAGGTAAAAGCAATTTTTATTTAATTTTACTTTTTTATATCACAAGTGTAGGCCAACAAGCATAAAAGCCGTCTAAAGGTGAATGAATACCGTTGCACTTATGACGTTTAATTGATTAATGGCAAACAAAATGACGTTGCACCTGATGCAAAGTGGTAATCGGTTTATATAGACATGCATAGCACTATGAACTTCACTAAATACAAGAACTCTGATGTCTCTCATGCTATGATGGTTTGACCATTCCCGAGGACTAAAGTATTTGTTGCGGGTTGCATTGAGACAACGAGGTTTGTGGAAATGTATATTTCCAATGACTCGGTTGTAACTGACAAAATTAAGAAATAAAATGATCTTATATACTAAATACAAATGTAGGAAATTGATACAAAACTGGTGGGGCGATACACTGACCTAGTACGTGCAGTGCTAAATAAAAAATTATTAAATTTCTTAGTAAACCAACAATTTTATTGCACTTCATGTATGAACATAGGTATGGCTCCATAGTGTTGTTCTTACATCTATCTTGCCATGACACCAAACAAAAAGGAACAACACAAAAGTTTGATTTCAAAATACATACGAGTAAAATAGAAATATATGTGAATTCAATTGTTATGGTCACCTCAACGATGACATTTAACAAATAAATGCCTGTGCCTACCCCATCTTACAATTAACAATTAAGATTCAAAATTAATACAAATTCACAACTTTCGTGATATAGATCACTTATAGAAGTAATAGGTATTTCTTTTATTATTAATTAATTCATAGATAATTTCATTTTTATCGTAAACACTATTTAAGTACCTTGTTTAAAAAAATATTTAATGCAATCTCCTCTATATTGTTAAACTAAACACTAAATTAATCTTTTTTTTATTTCTTTCTTTTTTATTCCTTTTGCACGAGGCGCTCTATTAACGTTGACTTTCTTTTGGCAGAGTATTGTCACTACATAACGCCAAGCAAATTCCTCAAAGAAATGGACATGGCTGACGTGGACATCGGTGGGAACATGGCTTTAGTGATCTCCATTACAATACTTATGCACATCCTAACATGTACAGCTTTGTGGTACAGACTGAACAAGAGATGATATGTATCCCAGTAACGCAGATTTTATATAATGTGACAATTTGCTTATAAACTAATACTTAAGTTTCACTGTCACAGCGATGGTAATAGGTACAAAAAAACGTATAGAACTGACATAGCTAACTAGATAATAAGTAAATTTGTAAATGAATGGGACATTTTTACGAATTACAACTTAAAATTTGATAAAACGTTAGAATAATAGGTAGTACGGTAATAAGTTAACTTGCCCTTAATAAGATGATGTACCTAAACTAAGAGTAATCAATATGCCTTATATGACAAAGAAATTTATATTGAATAACAAACTATATAATATATATAATGAATAGGTCTAACTATTTGTATACGTTATTTGTTTTACTATAGTAAAGAAATAATAAATGTAGTAATTTAATACCTATTCCATTTTTGTTATATTCTCTCTCTTTATTACTTTTGTCTCTCTATTACTTTTGAAATCGGAAATTAGCAATCGATAGCCAAATAATATTCCTTATATTTCCATTATTGTCACAATATCTATATTGTCGCATTATCATACAGTTACTATTGAGATATATAGTTGAGGGTCGAAAAAACAACGAAGTGACATATTTAGATTTTTTGCAATGAAGAATTGCAATGATATATGATATTCCGAGAAAATTGTAAGCATTGTTTACTTTTTAGTAATCTGTTATAATAATATATCGATTATATAATATAATAGATTTTACATAGTACTAGTAAGTACTATGTAAAATCTTACATGGTATTTACTAATCGACTGATTTAACTCTCATTCCTTTTGGGGTAATCATCAGGTACACTTGAAATATCTTCTATATTTAAGTTCCTTTAAAAATCATTTATTTTAAATAAACCCAGTAAATTAAGGCAAAATGAAAATTGTTTAATATTTAAAACTATTATTTTAGACTGATGTAAATCATTAATGAATCCTTAATGAACATCTCAACAATTTCAATGACTTTTGTTTCAAATTTCATTAATTGTTTAATTTATTTCGTTGTGTACTTAAATATTACAATTTATTATATTAATAATAAATTATTACACAAAATGATATGAACTGAAGCTGTCGTTAAATTATAATTAATTTAATATTAGAAAATCACATGCGCACGGCATTTCATTTTCTAATGCAACTACCTAATACCTACCTATTATTATTACTGTTAGAAATACCTATATTGCTATAGGTATTTCCAACTTCAAAAATTATTTTTTATAAAGGATATTTTTTATTTTTAAAAATCGCTGTGTATAAGTATTATAATTTATCTACTATAATTATTGGTTTATTTATTTGTATTTAACTAGGTTTTTAATTACAAGTTATTAAGTTTACTATTATGGTGAATTGAAAAAGGACGATTTAAATATGTGATGACATTAAAGGATACCTCTGAAAGATATTGTTTTTTTAACCCTTACTTTAGTTTGGTTTCTTATTATAAAATAATAAAGGCTGAAGAAAATAACCTGTATTTTGAGAAAATAAGATCGCTTTGTGATTTTTACGTAGCTTATAATAGCAAAAAAGCTGACAGCCTACCTAATAGAATGTAAGAATCGTCAATTAAAAATATGTACAGCACCATGAACATGGCAGTGTATTTTTAATTGAATATTCATTCAGAATATTCTGAGACGTTTTACGTATAAAACAACATTGTCTTCAAATTATAGTTTTTATAGAAATTCTATCAAAATCAGTTTAGTAGTCTAACAACTGAAGGCGGATTTGTAATAAATTATTGTTTAAACTTTTCAAATGCACATTCAACCTTAACATAAACAGGTAGGGAAGGGGGGGGGGGGATTGTTAATAATGGAGACTAAGGGCCCCATTGCTAGCAATATACCCAAAGAGGTCGACCTCCACGTAGTCCCCCCTTGAAACCATCGTGCTGAATTCCAAATATATTCATCACGATTGGCTAACTGACGTGTTTTTCCATCCTCATCATCACGAGTTCATTATTTGTCGTGTTAGAAATTTAAGTAATTTCCGCAACCGGAAGAAATAAAATTTTATCGCTATTTCAAAACAATACTTTTATAAAATCTAAAGTAAATAAAATAGTAATCCTAATTTTCATAATATATACACATATGTATAAGTATACACAATGACAACTTGAACGCTAACAACTACCCTTTATCTTATCTGGACACATGTGAACATAAGACATAATAATAATGTACCTTAAGAGAAACGGGTAAATATTAAAAAAGCATGATTATATAATTCTTTTTTATCAGATCTCATCTTCATCGGTATGAAAACAAAGACAATATGAAAAACAATAAAAACATATAAAAGGCGTATTGTGATGACCGTTATACGCCACATACCTATTCATGCGAAACATTATATCATTCAAAGAAATTAAACAAAAGTAAATCAGCTACACAGTTTTTATTAAATACTAGCTATATCCCGCGGCTTCGCTCGCGTGGATGATTATATCAAGTATCCTACATATTAGGATATAACCTACACGTATACCAATTTTTCATTTAAATCTGTTCCACCGTTTGAAAGTAACTGAGTAACAAACATACAAACATCTTTACAAAGTTTTATATTTATAATATTTGTACTCATAGTAGAAGAATAACGATATGCACTGGCAAAATAACAGTGAGGGACAATAAGATAAAGTCATGCCAGTTTATCCATCGTGACGAATTCACCAGAAACAACCACGACATTTCTCATTGGAGACCACGTGGAAGTCAGCCTTATAAAATATATTGCTAACATTGGTGCTGCAAAACACTTATTAACTATCTCCTTTCTCCATTTATAATATGAAAGGTCATTAAATATTTTTAATATTAATTTGAACGTATATACGATTATATGTATAAATAAATGTACATATAATAATAATAATAATAATAATCTTTATTCACTACTCACAAGGAAACTGTTTAGACTGTGACTGTGTGTGACTATTAAGTACTTTAAATTAAAATTGTTATCCTTGTGAGAGTCTGGAGTCTGAACTAGGTCGAAACCTGTACTACAGATCTCCAGATATTGTGATATAGATAAAAGATAAATAATCTAAAGTGCCAATGAACTGGTCACATAGCTTAAAGAACCGACAATCGATGGGGAAGAAAGATTCTTGAGTGGCGACCCGTGCAAGCAAACGCATTGTAAAATGACCCCTAACTAAATAGAGTGACGACCTCAAATGCATTGCAGGAACTCAGTGGATCTAAATAGCTCAGGACCGTTCCATATAATAGTCAATGGGAGAGGCCTATGTTCAACAGTACACAGACAACGGTCGATATGATGATACCGTACCTACATTACTTAACGTAACCCATTCCTTAAAACTGCGAGTAGTGTAAGTCATATATTTACCAGAGGAAGACTTTGTACAAAAGTCGATTGCTTGGTACCTCTGTCCCATTCGTGTTTCAACCGTGAAGTAGTTATGTTTGCATGACTGTGTTTCGGTTTGAAGGATGGGATATGGCATGAATTTACTGGGTACAGAGGGATAACACCTGAGTCCTCAGGAATAGCAACGCATGGGGGGTATCATGGGCGAAACAGTATACTCTGTTATGTCCATGGTACTGCTCATGTCTATAGGCGACGGTTACCACTTTCCATCAGGTGGGCCGTCAGCTTGTTTGCCATTCTAAGTTGTATAAAAACAAAATAAACACTCGCTCTACAAGGTATGTACATACCTATTATTATGTGGTGCCGGTGGTACAAATATAGGTTGCTTTTTTTAAGAATTTTTATATTTTTTTTTATTTTTGATAACATAAATATTTTATTTTGAAAAAAAATCTTAATACTTTTTAACAAATACTAATACTAGTTTTATGTAGTGGGTCACATTAATTACCATACTGCATACAACATATATAATAATTGAGATTAATAAAATCCATCATCATTCAACCGATCACCATGAGAGTTGATGAGTGTGTACCCATAGTACTTATAAGTTTTCAAGAAAAGTTTTACGCTATCCATTTTATTTGATGTCATTACTCTTTGGCGCTATAATATTTTAATTTCTTTACTATAAGACTGGTTCAAAAATTAATAACTTTGTCACAGAAATATTTCGCGATATACACTTTTACATTTTTGTTGTATTGTAACTATGAATTCGTAAAATTAGTAATTATGTAGATATATAACACTTGATTAATATGTTAATTAAACGTTACCAGGCCAATAACACAAAAATACAGATTTATAAATATATATTTTGCTGCTTGAAATGAAGGCCAGTACCTTCAACGCGGTTACTGTTTACGTTAAAAAACGTATACGCAACAGTTCATTGGGCCGAAGCAGAAACCGGTCCGCCTTTGTCCGTAATTCCTTTGTAGGAACACGACTTCCCAGTAGCAACATGTATGGTTGACTGTACGATAATAATTAGCGGTGGGCTGCTGTGGTGGACAGCTGACTAAAGGGGGGAGAACGACCGATAAACAACTATCAAACAGTACGGTACGAGTATCTTGCGCAGTGCGGTCCGTGTCTGACTGTGTAGGCGCACGTCGCGGCCGCTTAATACTTCTTTGTTTACATCCAACGCGATCCTTTGTATTCTTGGTAACGCGATGGAGAACCAACGCATTGTCTCCGACTTTTATTAACACTCTCTTATAAGTCTTGTAGGCTCTGTATGTGATAGTGAAAGTAATGTAATATTAGTAAAAATGATTGGAGACAATGAAGAGTCACAAGTGACAACTTCATCGACAGAATTCTCTCTGAATCTCTGCTTTGAAGACATAAACTACTCCGTCAGGCATGGCATCTTCGCTGGTGGTGAGATATTATAAATCTCTTTCATATTACATTTCTAAGGTTCCCATTTAGTTATAAATTGTTCATGAATAAACGATAACTTCTTTCATAAAACTTATCAAATATATGACCGAAAAAATAATATCTGATTTGTATCAAGATGTTGTGAAAGAAACCGTAAAGCGATTACGTACCTGGTTTATCAACAGCCGAACACACAATTATCTTTTTGTGATAAAGTGAAATAGTATTTCATGAGTGATTCTTACACTAAATGTGAATAAATAAATTTTATTACATATCATACCAGACTTCTTTTAATTATCTACATATGTACTATGTGTATGTGTACTTAAAATAATTTTAGTAATTAATCATTAATTAAGTTTAATTTATCGGATCAATAGAACTTTATATATTCCACTCATATTGTTACAAGTTATCAATACAAATTTGATCGTACTATCGATATGTCAATAAAAGGAAACTGTCCAATCTATTTTAATTTATAAATTAATATAGATATATCTTATATAAAAATGGGTATTTTGTCCGAATAGTCCGGGGTTATAATATATATAGATGTGCATAAAAAGTTATATTATGTTTCTTTTAATGCACGTAAAAAGTAAATTAACTTATAAATAATATAAAATAATATCTACCACGAACTATATTAATACAACAAAAATATCCATATATTATTATTGTGTCCGTAAGTTATGTTGTTAAATAAATAATATATTGTAATTAATATTACCCAATTGATTTAAAATCTTGCATAATTGGTGAACAAAATTAAGAAAATATGAACAAGAAAATATAATTAGTCATCTAAAAAAGACATTAATTTATTATATTTATAAATTAATATGCCCTATATTATTATCTACATATATTCCGAATCCCAAAAGTAGATCATTTAAAAAAAATTAAAGCAAAATTATGACTAAAAAATTACAATAACATAGCTCGTCAAAGATATCACATATTAAATACAAAAAACATAATTTATTATAACTAAAGTTTATTAAAAAATAACTAAGCGAATTAACATTTTTAAAAGGCCGGTAATGTGCAGATAATTCCTCTAATGCTATTCATGTATAGACACTAACAACATCAGAGCCCACCATGTGGTGATCACTTCCCCATTGCGTGAGTCGCATGCTCGTTTACCATTAATTCGCATAAAAAAGAACCTAAAATCCCGCTAACCTCATAAACATTAGTAAAAGTGAATACTTATACATTTTTACCAAATATAGCTTGAGGAATACTCAATTAGTGAAATTATTATATATTACGTTTAAGAATTATCACGTAAAATTCAACTTACAAACAATTCCCGTTATCTTATCGATTCTTCTATTTCAAAGCTACGCTCCCTCTATATTAGCCCATAAACTATACATACGAGTATATAGACATTTATTTAGGAGTTATTTTAGGGTTATGGATGATTACTTATCATAATATATAATAGGGAGAGATTATCAGTAATAGAGACAAGCTCACCATATTGCTTGCAATATATCAAGTCGACCTCTATCCGGTCTCCTTTGGGAACCATCGTGGTTTCATTCCTGATAAATTACCACGGTGGGCCAACTTCTTCGAAAAATCCATAATATACTTTTATTTCGATGTTTTGTTAATTTGATAATTGACGCAACAGGTGCATATATCAGATGATCATCATCATATCAGCCTTTAACTGTCCACTACTATGTCTACTAAGGTCTTTAGTCGCTTAGCAGGCATGTTGATAACCGCAGTTAGGTTTGATGTTTTAAGAGAAACGTCCTTCGATCATTAAATTCCCTTAGTCGCCTTTTACGACAGCTACGAAAATGGAAGAGGTTACCCATTCTATGCAGGAACCACATTGTGAATATGTATTACATATACTATATATATATATATATATATATATATATATATATATATATATATATATATATGTATATATATATATATATATATATATATATATATATATATGTGTGTGTGTGTGTGTGTGTGTATATATATATAGCAGCATATACAGCTGGCAGGTGGAAGAGTTACATAAAATAACTTTTGTTACTGTGTCAACAGCTATATAAATAAATCTATTCTATGTTATACCCCATTGTTTTCTCAGTGTAATCTTTTCTTGTGATTGTTTGTATTTATAATAAGTTTACTAATGTTATATTTTTTTTTTTAAAAACAATAAAGAGTATCTATGTATCATTCAGGCAAAACAGTAGCGAAAAGCATTTATTACCTAGCATCTAGCATGTACATATAGTACAGGGTGAAACTAAAATCCTTAGTGAAACTAAAATCCTTATCCTTAGCATATAATTAAGATTCTACACATGCTATAGAACATATTAGGGCTGAAATATTATCAATCAAAAATTAAAAAAAACGTTTAACACAACAATCACCCGTATTGTAGCAATATTCAGTTTCGCTGATAAAACACTTCCTTCAAAGGATGCCTTCAAAGGAGGCTAATGATTTAGATTTCAATCTTTGTAACTAGTCCATTTGTAAGTTGCTCCTATAAAATTTAAAACCATATCTATGTAAGTATAATGTAAACACCATAACTATATAAACTCTTTGTAACCTTTAATTCCCTATAACGTAAAAATATTTTTTTTTTATTTACCTTACCCCCTTTTATATTGACAACATCTACATATGTAACGTAACTACTTCTTCCGTTCATGTTCTATAGAGCATAATACAATTCATACAACCTCTATTAAAGTTTATACACATGAAAATAGAAAATTTTGAAACCAAACCAAATAAATAAACAGTAAATTCACCATTACACTTGGTACTCAATTGCGAAATGTAATTGGCTCTTAATATTAGGGAAACGGTATTCCCTAGCAAAAAAAACCTCTACTAAAAGAATAAATCTTACAATTGTAATACTAGTTAAATTAAATTCAAGATAAAATACGTTATATTTAACTATTACTTCCGCAAATTTATTATGGTATCATGCCTTAAATGCCTTTACCTACATATTTGTATACGGAATTGAAACATTAATCAGGGACGAGTATTCAGTAATTCTGTTAGATTCCTTTGACTATTATTACAACGATCCTATAATAAATGTTTTCATGCTGTCCTGGTTGTAATTATAATAAAAAAAATATTGCATTCGAGAATTTTAGAGGTATAAATGAAATAGTAACCCCGTCTGCACTATTGTAGATATACGCTGATGGAACACCAGTGAGAGATGATAGGTGAGGATGAAAGCAGGTCAGTCGGCCCATCTTGACAAATTCGACAAAAAATACCATGATAATTTGCAGGGGAACCGCGTGAAGGTTGATTTGATATGGTATATTGCTATCAATGGGGCTGTTAAACTGCATTACTAATAAATCTTTCCCCCTATTGCAATCAATAGGTACCTGAAATATCAGACGGAGAAATTTATACCTTCCAACAGCCAGATCAGACAAGAACTGAACCCCTCAATTTACGGATCAAGGCGAGAAAGTTAATCCCTATTGCTAGAAATATACCGTATCAGGTCGACCTCCGCGTGGTTCTCCTAGAAAACATCAAGGGTCGAAGCCTATAATAATTAATGTTATAGAAGCCTAGCGAATCCGTCACTAAGGATCAAGAGGCCTGCTTTCATCTTCATTACATAGGCCGTTCTCCAGTAATGACAATGACATAATTAACTAGAACTGGACATGTAATTTTGTAAATTATGAATAAATTATTTCTATCTGTAATCAATAAATGATCTATATCTGTAAAGCACCACCATTGTACTATATATCGGCAATATGCCGATAAATGACGAATGTAATGTTCTATTTCCGTCCATAAAAATCCAAAGGAAAAAAAGTATTAGTAACAACAACTAGACACTTCATTTCTAGTGGAAGTTGATTTCAACCTCCATGCCGTCCTTTTGCTTACAAGTCGTAGTTATTTCCTTGTAAATACGTTACGATGAGCCAATTGCGCTGATTTTGTCTTCTCTTATCATAACTCAGTTGTACATCCAGTTTGATTTACATGAATAATACTTAGTGTTATTTACAAAAAGATAAATTATGGTTTTATATTCGGTAACGTTTATGGTTTCGCAATATTTATTTTCTTATAATTTGAACTGAATGTTTAGGTATACATTAAATTCAATCAGATAAACCTGAATTAAATTAAGTGGTTTTAATTTAAGAAAATTGATCAAAAAACATTACTTTTTGGTTTGAAATATGCTTATCTTTGATATGATATAAATATACTTGTATTAAGCAACTATTACTTTAAAAGTCTAAAAAAACTCACATTTATTTAATAAACAAGTATTTTTAATCCATATACAAAATTATTAATAAGAACGCAAATAAATACGTTCTGAATTATTAATACGGTTAATTCTATTATCAACGATATAAATTTAAGTAGGTACCTACCTACAATAACTATAACATGTAAGATAAACGATTTAACTAGAATTAATATAATAAATTTCATATGTCCCATATGTATATATATGTGAGTATAATTATAAATATTTAATTTAAACATTCTTATTCGTGGCTTAAACACGACTAACAAACGTGGTGTCCTTAAACCAGCATAATGGACACGTAAGTAATTTCGATAACTTGGTTCAACCTTTGTCCCATTTGAACATTATCCTATTAATATCATAAATTAGAAAGTTTACAAAGATGAATGGATGGATAGACAATTGTTACTCATACACGCAAAAACTACTAGACGGCTTTAAATTAAATTTGGTATACAAGTTAGACGTATCCTAACTTAAGACATACTTTATATACTAATTCATGCAAGCAACGCCACGAGAAACAATTAATAAAAATAACAATTAAACAATAAACCATGTTAAGTATGCAGATGTAATTAGTATGTAGTTTATATTATACTTTGTATGTACAAAAGTCGATTGCTTGGGTACCTCTGTCCCATTCGTGTTTCAACCGTGAAGCAGTTTTGTTTGCACGGCTGTGTTTCCGTTTGAAGGGTGGGATATGGCGTGAATTTACTGGGTATAGAGGAATAACACCTGAGTCCTCAGGAATGGCAACACATGGGGGGTATCATGGGCAAAACAGTATACTCTGTTATGTCCATGGTACAGCTCATGTCTATAGGCGACGGTTATCACTTTCCATCAGGTGGACCGTCAGCTTGTTTGCCATTCTAAGTTGTATAAAAAAAACTTATCCTACAAATAAGTTTATGCTAATAATTTTAAGTGTTTTTATTGCAATGTATACAAATCGTATAATTGGCTATTTTTATTTTAAATAACAATTTATTTCATATGAAAAGGGTTAGTAGAATCTCTTATTAGAGATAAGCTCGCCTTTGTACATTACGTTTGTTTTTATCACTATGTTTGTGTACAATAAAGAATGATGTCAATCAGTTTAGGTGGCCCATAGTGACCAATTCACCAGGAATTAACTACAATGGTTTCCATCCATCATATAGGTCCATTTAAAGATTGATGTGACATAATATATATTGCTATAAATGGGGCTACTTATCTCCGTTACTAGCAATTTTTCATTAACATAATTCCCATCCCATCTAATTAAAAAAACCACAGATTTTAGTTTAATTCACGTTTTTGTTTGTTATACGGTGTATTGGTAATTTTACAGCGAATTCGATGATTATTTTTGCAATTGAACAATCGAAGGAAAAAATTATCTGATCTAAAAATATTTAGAATTTAGTAGTCAGTATGATAAATTTTACCTAGTCCAAGAACTCAATTTATAGAGTTCATAAACGCAATAAATATATATGCGTGTATTAATTATGCTAATAAAATAAAATACACAAATTAAAACAGTCCAACTGACAATCTATGGGACTTCGTCTACCACTAAACTACATTATCAACATATAAAATTCATAAACAAGATATTAAGTAACTAATGTATTTGCAAATCAAATCGGTTATGTAGGACGTAAGGGAAAAATGATACACAGTAACGATTTATTACTCGATTACGCTATAAGTATAGAAACTTCGATTAACACGTCTAGAGTACGGGTATTAATAGCGAAATGGTTCAATGAAATGCACTAATGCATAAATGTCAGTTTTATATCTAGATAATTATAGAGCATTATATTTTGTGAACAAGACCTCACTTATTTAAAAAAAAATAAACGCCTTTATATCATAATTTTAAAAATTATAAATATTCCCTATATGCGATCCTTTTTGTTTTACTAGCTTTGCCCGCGAATATATTATAAAAAACTATTTACATTAATTTTGTAGAGAATTTGTTTACACTTTTTTTTTACACTATTTATATCTAGTAGTGATTTGTCTACTCGACAATAGATGGTATTGAGTAAAAAATAATTTAACTACGAAGGAGGTAATTGTTTTCGTTTTTATAATTTATACTGCTCATACGTCATTGCGTAAAACGCTACCATACAAACGAATACACAAACATTAAAAATTTTTAATAACCTTTCTTTCCCAATCAGTATCACATGTAATGCTATATTCATAAGCTAAAGCCATAAATTACTTACATTTCTAAATTTATTAATTTACAGTTTTGTATTTTAAATAAAATTATAATTATTAATATTAACTAAAAATCTAAACATTTCTTGATTGAACAAATAAAATTATGATGCATTCATAAAAAAATTACGATGCTTGTAAACAATCTTATTTGAAAAAAGATGATACAAATTAATGAAATTCAGAATTGATTTACAATATTTTTGGTAATATTTTGATACATTTGATTAAACAGTCTCTAGCTGGTTAGAAATAAGTGCATAATTTGGTTGAATATTCTCCATTTTTTATTAAAAATCCCAACCAATCGTGTCAACCAAATTTACCCAAGAAGGGTTAACGTCAGGCTGGTTAGGCGGCGGGCAGTAAAACTAGACATCAAAACCTTGGGTAATATGGATAAAAACATATTATGCGTTCCCCAAAATTTATATAATTGAGATAATTCCTAATTTCTTCGTTTTTTAATCTAATTAGTAAATAGTCGATCAACCTCAAAGTAAATGCGTGTATAAAATCGATACTCAGTGTGTTTTTTATTTGTTTCTTTTATATTAAATTTGAACACATTTGATTACTGTCTCACCTAATCTTAAGTGACGATGAGGTCTAAAGTATTGCATATGGAAACACAGATGACAGAATAGAATTCCAATCGTATAGATCCGATATGAGACTTACAAGAGGGAAACTTTGTGTAATACAGAATACTAGACGATTCTAAGGTGGGAGAGTCCACCTTTGTCCTACCCTTAAATATGGCTGTGACTTTAGGTATTTTTCAATGGATAAAGATGGAATGGTACACCCACCTATGCTAAGAGAACACAATGGAATGGATTACCAACATTAACAACATTAGTAAGAATATATTTCCTATTAATAAGGATTTTCTATATAATAAAATTTCCTAAAAGTAAGACCTTACCTTACCTTAACAATCCATTTACATTCCACAGCTAGGAACGGACATCTTTATGCTATAAAAGTTATTATTATTTATTATTTATATAATAATAATATGTTATTACTAATTATATTGCATGTTTAAATGCACAATCGGGACTTAACGCGATGAAAAAGCTTTTAAATGGTAATAGTACCTATATACCTGCTTCCTTATTGCCGACGTTTTTGTACTATTTACCTGTGAAAGCTTTTTCATTGTATTAAGTCCTGATTGTCTATTTATAACAATGCGAAAGTTTAAAATTAATATTGCATTTCATTACATTTTGTTGTATATAGTATTTTTGTCACTCGTATATATTACTATGCAAAATGGGATATTCAAAAATTTTGACAGGTAATACAAAACAAATTATAGCCTAAATTAATTATTATTCCTTAACTATTATCTCTTATTTATATTGTTAATATTGATTGGCACCTCTATTGTTTAGGGTGTTAAAATTTTGCATATGTGACATTCGATATAAACATTTTATAAACAATAATAAGTTGACATTACATATTTAACATTTTAGGTCAAATGTATAATCATTTATTGTAATGTAAATTTAAAATCTATTTTAAGTTTTGCATCATCTCACTGTCAGAAAAAATCTTCGTCAATCGTCTTTCACGATGCATTGGTTATTTTTTACTATTATATTTCTTTCCGCAATTGCAGTTTGGAATTCAATATGGATTATATTAGAAAACTAATTCAAATAAATTAAATTCTAATTTTTTAATGTTTGCTACTTGCTTTTTCATAGCATAGGGCTTTTTAGTTATTGTAGTTGTGAGTTATTTATTTGTTTACAACTTCGTCTCTTTTTAAAGGGCGTAAATGCATCCTGAACAACCTCTCTGGTACTTTCAATGCTGGTGAGCTGACAGTCATCATGGGGCAGTCAGGTGCAGGGAAAAGCTCTCTCATGGATATACTAGCTGGCTATACGTAAGTATACATTACAACATCCTCTTTATATTTTCACTAATTTTAATCCACAACTTCGGTCACATGAACGGTATAAGTTGTTACACCAGAATAGTGATGACATTCTCTATCCCAAATACTAGTCGTATACCAAATTTCATGACGATTGATGAACTTTTAATATGTCAAGATGTAACAAACGGACAAACTTAACTAACTAACTTTCACCTCTATAATATTAGTAAGCATAATACCGTATATTCATATAAAGTATTCAATCCAAGCCCGTCCAGCTGGTGATTTAGTAACAATAATCTATATATCTTTGCAAATTTTTACATGTATAATAGTAGTAGATATGCTATTATCAATTTGTATATAAGTATTTATTACAACATATCTATTATAGCATAGATTAATAGAAACATAAAAACATTTTTATAGGATTTGGAATGAATATTGACTCACCTGGTATAAAGTGATAATAGTCTCCTATAGATATAAAGAGAATCATGGATTTGATATTATAATTTTTTTAATTATAATATTTTCCCCCCATACTAATCCATAATATTTTTAACTTTAAAAATTTTGGATACATTTTTGTAATAACTGGTCATATGCATATTTCTCTTATTTACCTGTAAATAGCGATGTAGATTTCACGATAATTAAAGATTTGTATTGTAAATAGTATATAAAACTTATTGTGACAACTGTTTGTCATCCCAAATAGAGAAAATAAAATAAATGGTCAACGTCACGTAAAAATCATTGGAAAAAATTCCTACTGTCTTGTTTTATTAAAAAAAAATTATTAATTAACAATTTCATTTTATACAAATACTTATCACTGATCACCTCAGTTCATTTAACAGTTACAGCACAACTCAATTATATTATCTTTAGTACAACACACAACTACGACTGAATACAGTGGTTGGTCCAGTTCTCTACATCCATCCACATAAATCGTGCCCAATTACACACAAATCGGGCATAATCAGTAATATATATACGTATATGGTATATATACATTCTCTCAAAAATTTTTTTTTCCTTACATTAATCATATTTACAATAATACTAAAGAAAAACGATATATTTTACGCGTATTCTTAAAATTATATTTTATATTATATTATATATTTTATTGTTTTTTTTTTTAATATGTATTTTACTTATTACAGAGCAAGTAGCTCAGTTATTCATAAAAACGTTAAACATTTATTAAACCTATTTTAGCTATTCAACTGTTTTGTCTCTTTTTTGTGCTATATTCTCAGTTTGAATTAAAATGACAAAACAGTGTAATAATTAAAATAAATTTGTAAGAAATTTTAATTTTCATGAATAAGAAGTGAATGTAAAAAAAAATAAACTAAATAAAATATCAACGCACAGTTGAAACTACTTGATAATTTTTCATGAAATCATCCCAATTTTAATGCCAGCGAACGGTTTTGACCCAACCAATCTAGAACAATACCTCAGAGATTGTGATTCTAAGGCAGCTTTCTTCCAGGATGCAGAAAACTGCGTTCTTAGATACTGCCCATATAGTACACCGTTTTTTCTCCTTGGGGTCCTGAACTCCAGCCGACTGTCTGCCTTTGCTGAAGGTTAGCTGCTACATCTCCTCCTTTAGAAGGGGATATGAATTTCGAAAAATAATGATAAAAAGTGCCACACAGTGACACCAATCGCCTGACCCTTCAGCTAATAATGTATTATGAGTACCAATAGGTCCAACCAGGAGACATTTTTTTATATCTGTAAGCACAACCTATAATGTCCAAGTCCAAGCCAATTCAGAAAAGTTAGTTATCTAAATAGTAATAATATGAATAAATGAATAAATGAAATTTATTGCAATAAATGTGGTACAATAAGATGATATGGTAATATTACAATAGTTGGTTTCACACATTTTGTCGTTACTGACATGCAACAGTCATTACAAAAGTTATGACAAAATAATTCTTTATAATAAAATTAATTCTATAGCCATATTTATATAATTCAGAAATTTATATCTACTTATACCTAAATATTATTTTCAATATGTTGATTGACTATATTATTGCAATTATTATTTTTAATAAATTAAACGATAACGATACAAATTGAAACAATAAACAATAGTCATAAGCAAATTGTAAAACAAAAAAGTCAGTCTTTTATAATGTGTAATAATAACAGGATTATTTTCTCACAATTCCAGTAAGAGGTATTATCAATGGAGATAACTAGACCCACCAAACTATATCGTTATAATTACATATACATAGATAAATATAAGTAACATTATCTACATGATTATGAGTTTGTCACACATAAACACGCTCACTTACATACGTGTTATTTTCATTTCCATGGCAACTGCGAATAGGGGCGATGTCAAATTAGAAAATAATCAATCACAGATCTAACATACACCGTTGGTATTATTCTTTATTGTAAATTACTAGCCTTCTTACGAACTTCACTCGTATGAACGAAATGAATATATTGACCAAAATGTATCCAATGTCGTTTTACATTTATTCTATATATTTATGCCAAATCTTAACTCGATGAAGTCATTAAAAAGTCAAAAAGTACCTAACAAACGAAAGAACTTCAGTAATATTAGTAATTATATATTTAATATGTGTTCACCAACCTTTTTTTCTAAATATTCAAACTGAACAAAAATAAAGTCGAATCTTGATCTTGAATGTGTTTATTAATTTTGTACAAGAACGTCACAATCGAAAGTGTCAGATAAAAACATTATTTTTCTTTTTTTGTATAAAGGGCCAACAAAGAGTTCATATAACAGTTATTAATTAAACATTCCGCCACCCAAGGACTACTATAGTCCTTCACAATATAATAAACAAGTAACACAAAGTGAGATGATAGAAATCAAATTACTACATAACTGTTAGAAAAAATTAACAAATTTTAGTTATTCAGTGGCAGAGGGTACAACTTAGCTACAAGTCTTAAAGAAATTGTTAGCTTAACATTAGAATATATTTAAACCATTTGTACTGGACACTAGAGAGTATGATATATTTGCTACTGTTTGTTGTTTAAAACAAGATATACATTTATTCACAGTACTTGTAACAAGACTTTAAACGAATAATCCAGTACTTCTGTCTGACGTAATTTAAAGGTAAGTTGCAAGTCACCATGCAAAGATTTAATATGTGCATCAGAAACAATTAGTTTACATAAATGACATTTGTTACTTAAAATAATATGAGACTATAGATAGTTCGAAACCTCTGCATTCACTAGTCTGCCACCCACTCTTAGTATCTTTTGTTCATCAAGAAACGGATTAAGTGTATATAAAACTTACTTCTTTTGTGAATTTGCTTGTTGTGAGTTAAAGTTTCAATCTCATCTTTAAAATAGCTTGTGACCAACGAGTACATACAAGCAAAACAATTTTTATTTCAGAAGCAGTTAAATAACAATTACAATCCCTTCTAATTGAATTAATTTTGTTTTTACAGCATTGAATAAATGGTTTAAATATTTGTTTATGTAGTCAGTAATATCATTATTTTCAGTGATACAAATGTGAACTTTAACTTTTGTTTTAACTTCTAAGTCTGTTTCAGGAATATCTATATCATTATTTACAATATCATCGGGTTGACTTAGAAAATCAGTGCCGTTCGACCACAGTTTTGACTGTCTCAAATCATTCGGACTTAAACCTCGAGAGACTAAATCTACAGGACTGTTAAAAGGTGTCAATATGACGCCATTGACTACTATTTGTGAAAGTTAAAATTTTTGCTGTTCGATTAGCAACAAATGTTGTCCAAGTACCAGGTGTTTTGCGTAACCACGTTAAAACTATAGTAGAATCAGTCCAAGTGAACACACAATTATTTTGTATTCACAAAACAGTTGGCTGCTCAACATCTTGGCTAGTATAAATAGCACCACAAGTCGTGGCAATGTAACTTGTTTTACTGAAGCTACACGTGTTTTCGCGAAAACTAAATGAACATTAACATCTTTGGTATTCCAAACTCTGATGTAGACAACAGCAGCATAAGCAGCACAAGATGCATCGCTGAAGCCATGTAATTCTAATCTACTAGTAGTATTTGAAATGCTGAGCCATCTTGGAAAGGGAATGATTTGCATGTGAGAAAACTTATCTAGGTAAGTAAACCATTCAGTTTTTAATTCTAGTTGTAGCTCCTCGTCCCAATCCAATCCAGCTAGCCATAATTTCTGCATGAATAGTTTAAGAACAATTATAGAAGGTGCTAAACAATCAAGAGGATCAAAGAACTTAGTTATCACAGAAAGAACAGTTCGTTTAGTGACATTGTGAGATATAAATTGTAAACTTAGTGTTAGTTCAAAGTTGTCAGTTTGTGACTTCCATTTAATACCTAAAGCTTTAATAGCTTTTTCTACTTAATAGTGACTGAACTTAAAGAATCTCTTTTATCGTTCGAAATTTGATTCAATACTAGTTTACTATTAGACGACCATTTATGCAAAGGAAAGCCACCTCGAGCTAATAATTCAGTTAACCGATTTTGAAGAAATATTGCATTTTCCTCTGTTGACGTACCTGTTAACAAATCGTCCATATAGAAGTCTTCCTTTACAATTTCAAATTCTTTAGAAAACTCACCACATTCATCTTCAGCAAGTTGGTGCAGTGTACGGATGGCTAAGAAAGGAACACAAGACCAAACGTAGGTTACTGTAAGTAATCTGTCCTCTTCATTAGGAACATTGAGAGATTCACGCCATACGACTCTTTGAAGATCTATATATTTTTTAGATACAAGTATCTGTCGATGTATCGACTTCTGTATATCTACAAATAAACATATTTTGTGTTGTTTCCATCTTGTAATGAAGTATCGAATATTTTGAAGAAGATGAGGACCGATAAACAATTCATCGTTTATTGATTTTTCATTTGCAGGTTCAACACTACCATCGAAGACTACGCGCAACTTTGTACTCAAGCTCAACGGCCTAAGGACAGCATGGTGAGGTAAGTAGTATATATTTTTATTAGTATTAAGTTCATTTTCAGGAATCATCTCCATATGTTCGTGTGACAGGTATTCATCCATAAAGTTACTATATTGACTTCTAAATTCAGGTTTGTGTAAAAATCTCTTCTCCATCTGTTGCAGACGATTAATAGCCAAGGTTTGTGAATTACCAAGACTTGTGGAAAGAAACTCTTTAAATGGCAAGCAATCTATGTATCGACCATCATCGTTACGTGTGTAAGTATCCTTATAGTGTTTCTCGCATTGTACTTCTGATGTAGACATAGGCTTTTTGTGAGGAACGTGCTCTTCGATCTCCCAAAACTGCCTAAGTAACTGATTCACCTCCAATTTAGTATGAGCTACAGTCACATTGTGTACTTGTGTATCAGTTTGTGAAACGCTTCCAGACAGCAACCAACCCAGGCGAGAGTTAAGAGCAACGAGAGTGTTGTGTTTGTGCATTCCATCGAGAATTATGTGAGCATGCACGTCGGCACCCAATACAACATCTATAGGACTCGGCTTGTGAAAATCAGGATCAGCTAGATCTAATTGCATTGATGAAGGCCAAGTACCTTGTGGAAATTCTCGAGATGGTAGTATTGAAGTCAGTTTTCTAAGTACATAAGCGTTAACTTCAATACGTGAAAGTGATGGGTTTTTACAATGAATTGTGAGTGTTACTATAGACTTAGTAGTAACTTCTTGTGAGTTGGATATTCCAGTGATTTTACCAACTACAGGTGTGCGATCAAGATTCAACAGTTGTACAGCTGCTTCAGTAACAAAAGAAGCCTGAGAGCCCTGGTCTACAAGTGCCCTGAGAACGTAAGTAGAGCCATTCTTTGCCTTTACTTTAATTTGAGCTGTAGGTAAAATAACTTGTTTATTATTTGTTTCAGGTTTCGTGTTAGCAGCATGACAAGACGTAGAGGGACTCTGTACTGACTCATTTCTCTCAGTTGTAATCTCTGGTTTGTTAAGAGTTGTTAAATGCAGCAAAGTGTGATGACGTCGTCCACATTTCTTACAGGTTGTGCTTTGCCGACATTTATTCACAGAGTGACCCTTAATCAAACAGTTGAAGCAGATGTTGTTCGTTTTTATAAAATGTTGACGTTCTGATACGGTAAGTGTAGCAAATTTCTTACAATGACAAATGTAATGGTTCTGTGAACAATATGTGCAAGTACTATTTACTTCAGTTACGTAAGTTTTGACAGATGTAAATTTTTGTGGTGTGTATATCTTCTTTGACAATTCTTTAACTTGAGTTGAACTAATCATTTCTAGTGTTCTGAATCTATTCTCCAAGAAAGAAGCTAAATCGTCATAAGTAGGAATCTCAGTAGAATTACCAAGAGACTGCTCCCAAAGCTTATGTGATTCGGAGTCTAACTTTCCGACAATGACATATACTAAAATAGCATCCCAGTTAGAAATACATATGTTGAGATTTTTCAACGAGTCAAGACATTGACTAGTAGTGTCTAATAATTCTTTGAGACTTTTAGTTGATTCGCCAGCTAACTTCTTTTGACTTAATAAGTGATTCAGTATATTGTTGACAATAATCCTTTTGTTGTCGTATCTTTCTTCCAGCTTTTTCCATGCATCGAGATAATTAGCTTCGGTAAGTGTGAAATTCTTTAATAATTCTGCTGCTTCCCCAGTTAAACTAGACTTAAGGTAATGATGCTTTTCAATTTTAGACAAACTGTTATTATTATGTATCAATGAAATATATAAATCTCGGTAGCTAATCCAATCATTATAATCACCAGAAAATACTGGAAGGGGTATCGGAGGAAGATGTGGTCTCGAGTGTGAAGATGATGCGATGGTGATGGTGTTATTATCATCAGTTTGAATTGATTTTGTTTCATGTTCATATAACCAATCTCTTATCCAGGTCTTGAGATCTAAGTAAGCCTCTTCAGTAGAATTATAATTTTCCTCTAGATCGATATTACATGATTTTAAATCCGACTCTGAATATGTAGTTGTAATGTACTCATATTGTTTATAATATGATGACCAGTACTCACATAGCATCTCTAAACGTGCATCCAAATATCCTCTTGTAATCTTAGCTCGAGCGCACTTCTTCGTGTTAGTTAGTAATTTCACAATTTTATTTGAATTGTCCAACAACATTGTAATACGTGATCTAATATCTTCTGTCATTGTGATATGCAAACAACAAAGTCCGATATATATATGTGAAAAAAGTATTGTACACTGAAGTTGTGAATATTTATGCGTTTAGTACTGCACTATATTTATTTATTTAATTATGCGGCTATCGAAGGACCAAATGAACAAAAATAAAGTCGAATCTTGATCTTGAATGTGTTTATTAATTTTGTACAAGAACGTCACAATCGAAAGTGTCAGATAAAAACATTATTTTTCTTTTTTTGTATAAAGGGCCAACAAAGAGTTCATATAACAGTTATTAATTAAACACAAACCTTACTACCTTTCTGTAGATATGAGTATATATTATATATTCATCGAAATACGTCGAGTTCATGTTGTATTTTTAATATACTTCTAATGGGAGGGTAAGGGATTGTTAGTAACGGGGCCAAATAGCCCCATTACTAGCAATATACCCTGTCAAGTCGACCTCCACGTGGTTCCCCCTGGAAACCATCGTGGCTAATTCTAGTTGAATTTGTCAAGATGAGCTAACTGACCTGTTTCATCTTCATCTATCATCCTTCACTGGTGCCCCGCCGGTGTATACTAATAGCCCGGGTGGGGTTACTATTTCATTATCACCCATAAAAAAGTACTGCTCATGTCTATAGGCGACGGTTACCACTTTCCAATGGCATTCTAAGTTGTAAAAAAAAATATATACTTCTAATATAGCATATAGGTAAAAATTAAAATTTACAAGAATTTTATTATTCCGAAATATTTAGATTTCCCAAAAGAAACAGACCCTCAAGTTGCCTTTACTTTGTTTACATAAAAAGACTTCTCTAAACCGATTTTGATAATTCTTTATAAGAATTTACTTCCTTATTTTGTCTAATGTTAATTTTGTTACAATAGACAAAATGTATACATACCGATTTAATTATTTATTTAAATATTCAATGTACAACATAAACTAAAAATGTACAAGATTTTTTTTTATAATTTTGCTTATTATATAAGTATGTACTCGTATTTATTTCAGTCATAGCTAAGTAACTTTAACTCTACTTCAACTAATTTATCTAATCTAATACAATTAGACCAATTAAATAGCTTGCATTAAATACTCTGACAGGATACCAGTGAGGAATGATAGATGAAAACTTATCATCCCTAAATATGGAATAGTAATCATACGGCAAAGATTATTCCATTATCACTAACTAAAAATAAAAACTACACTTCACAAATAGATTCGATATATCGATGATAGGCATTTATTTATTTTCACAGTATTCATTTACCAATATAAAGTTTATATATTAGATAACTCTAAGTTTACCTAATATCTCAAATAATATAAGTATTTGAGAAAAAATTCATTTAAAATTGGACATACAAATTATCTTACTAGACAAATAAATAATACAAATAAAGAAGTCGTTAATTATACAGATAGTAATTTTATACATAGAAGGCATATGATTTTATACATAATATACATACAAGGCATAATATAGTGAAATAGCAATTTGTTCCGTAACAATTTTATTCAATGATGCCCATTTCAATAAATATTATCTCACATTTCATTATCTATTAACAACAAGGCAAGTATGATTACAAAAAGTTTGTAAAAAAATTATTCAAATGGGCCAGCAGATTATGCTCCGCAAAATAATAATATCAATCTAAAACACACATACGCCAATGAACGTCGAAATGTTATGTAGGTACCTCATAATAACGATATGAACGAATTCAGAATTTGTACGTGATTACTTAATGTTGTCATAAAGAAAAAATAAAAATAATCAGACAAACCAACTCCCCTAGACAAAGTAGAAACGAATCTCATAATAGAATCGTTATGACTAGTAAATCCATGTGATAGAATAAGATAGTAACGTGCGCTATCTTGTCCTTACTCATGTGAACGCTAACGGAATCGATTATATAAATAGATTGGTTTGTACCTTGTCTAGGAAGGTTTCATTTGAAAGTTGCTTCAAAAGAAACCAACGCATTTTCATCCACTAAAAATCAATATTGCCATAACCCTAGAAAGTTATGATATAAATATTATGAATCACTATATAAATCTCAACTGTTTATCTCGTCTGGTACCTATCTATATATTGGTAGCTAACAGCGTCAAAATAATCGATATCATGGTCTACTAAGCAGATTTATATAAGCACAGGTATAATGAGTATAGGTACAAGTAAATTATCAATCAATTTGATGCATATTACTGTTTAACATTTTATTATAGTATTAGGTACTACTTCTCACATGACTGCATCAATTTATGAAACTATTAATACACTTATAGCGTACATTAGCTACTTATTCCACGTAGTTGAAATATGTTAACTGACTAAAATAAAAGTATCTCATGTGTTTCTCTAAATATCTAGTTATATATTTTTCCAAATACTAGGTGTATGTGAATTTTATATCGATTGGTAAAGCGGAATTTAACTATTCATTTGCCAAAGGCTAGTAAACAATTAAACTCAATTTCACATAAGAATAGTATTAAACAGAGCTAAGTAAGAATCTATCGAATTGAGTGAAACTATTTTTCATCTTCTCACTGTGTTTATAACTAAATTATATATTTTCTTAATAATAATATCTAACAATCCCATGTTACGATGTTCTTTCACGCTACTATTAAAAACCATTTAATATTTGTAAGTTTATGTTGTTTCCTCCAACATAAGAAATAGAGCCAGTAGATGGTAAACAATATTTGCTGGATAGACTAACAATAATATATAATTGTATCAATTTGATATTGTATTGTATTAATTGTTAACTGTCCACTGCTGGACATAGGCCACCCCCATAAGAGGGCTTTAACAATAATTGCCATGTTTGGCAGGCGAATTGGTAACCGCAGTTAAGCATTAGTGCTATCTTAACAGGCTGCAACAAATAATTAAATTTAATAATATTATATAAAGATTGAGATTTGTATCATATCACAACTTCTTATAAATATAAAAAAAATATTATTTTTAACCAATTAATTAATTTAACCATTTCAAAATAAAAAATACGCAACTTAACTATATAATATGATATCTCTATTAATTCATGAAGCAAAATAAATTACTTCATTTTTTATAAAAAATCTTCATTCAGATTATCGATATCAGTGTTGAAATCGAAGCTTAGCATGCAAGCAAGGAAGCTACAGATTTAATAATAACAATAAGTACCACACAATCATGCCAATCGCCTGATCCTCGAGCTAAAATACCCTGTATTATGAGGAACCAGGTAATGACCACTGAAGGACACCGCCTAGAACACCCAGACCCAATCCAATTTAGAAGAGTTCGTTTCCTAAATTGACCCGATCGAAAATGATTCCGGGACGTCAATGCGTAAAGCAAAATGCCTACCACTACATCAATGAAATCAAGAAGCAATAAGACTGAGATACCATGCAGTCTCTGTACCAAAAATCTGTTCCGATGTGTTCTATAATTTTCTTCTAGTCATATTTCAATGTCATTAATATCATAGACCTGACAATGTCTGCATTATTTGTTAATTTGCAAAAGCAATTACTACCTATTATGTAAAGTATGGACCAACTTTTATTTAAATATTCAAATAACTTTAACAATAGAATGTTTACATCAAGGGCGAGGTCTAGGCTAGGTTATGTATATGTTGTAAGAGTTTAGTTTAATTGCCTTTTTAAAATATTGATTTTTCAACTAAATCAATATTTTGAATATGGGATAATAAGTAGATCTCTCTCTTCAGTCGTACTCTCTTGACAGAGTGATCGTGGTTTTTACAATGATAGTGGATCGTCGATAAGGCTCTCCTTCGCGATTGATGTCCTCGCAATCTGTCGCTGTATGTAAGTACATACGTTACATAAATAAAGATCTGAAATCTACCTTAAAATAACTTTATAACGGACCTGTATAAACATTTGAGATTATTAAATTTGTTATATATTAGTAAGTTAACTTCACGTTAAGTTCCTTGCAAGGTAAGCTAGTAGAGTGCTAAAGGCATCTATCCTTTCGTTGATCTTTAATATCTCATATCGTGCATACATAACAGCTCCGAAGACTCTCGACTCCTACTTTATTCTCTCCTTGCAGATATTTCTTGCACCATCCATTTCCATTAATCGTTATCTACTCGTACATGTTCGCCGTTTCTGAAATTTCTTTACTTCTTTTTCAAATAAAACACGATCTTACATTAAGCCATTTTTATGTGTGACTTTTGCGACATACTATTCTATAAATTTAATTACATATAAATTACATTAGTAAAAAGTAATAAACATTCGTAGGTTATTTAATTTCTAATAAAGCTACAAGTAAATCATTCAAAGTGCAACCACAGGTAATAGATAAATCAAAACTCCACGTGCAAATCATTAAACAAAGAACGAACAATTGTAATCATATTTATTCTTATTACTACTACATTTAACTTACAATGGCAAACAAGCCAACGGCCAACCTGATGGAAAGTGGTAAACATCGCCTATAGACATGAGGAGTACCATGGAGATAACAGAGTATACTGTTTTACCCATGATACACCACATGCGTTGCCATTAAATATTATGATGTAGTTAACATACTTACATATTTCTGTTCTTAGAACATTCCCACGTCGTTCACAATCATGCACTTTATATATATCTACTTGCTTACCTGGCGATTAAAACAAAGAAAATAAATACCTAGTTACCTGTGAATGAGATAATAAATCCTTAGTATTATTAACCTTTACGCAAAACTTTATTAGGTACTTTCTTCTCTAAAATCAAACAACAACAGTATACCAAATAATTTTGTTCAATGTGGTTGTCCTCTTTATTACAACTCCCTTCTCTCCGCCCCCAAAGTACCCTTAACCTTTGCCACTGCACCGTATTTAAGACTAGAGCTCTAATTGTTTATCAAAAACCCAGGATATGCTCTTTTAAAGAGCATATCCTGGTTAATCTTATTACAGCTCTACAGTTAGTATTAAGTTGATAGAGCAAAGATTCTTGTGGATGTATTAAAGGAATATATAACATCTGTATCTTAAGTTTGTTTTGTACCATTACTTTGGATTTGCCTGGTTGATTTTTAATTCTAACTAGGCGCTCTCGATTTAAACATTTCAACTTTCTTGACTAAAATAGTTATTTGAGATCAAAGTA